AATGTCAATGATTATTAGACCAGTGGTAATTCTCAATTTACAGCATTACAGACCATCCGGATCCATGAGTGAATGGAGAAGTCCCTTCAGCATGCACCCTGTGATCATAGAAATCATGCACTGAATCCTTTTGCTGATTAACTTGCAAAGAGAAAGCTATTGCCCTTTTAGAATATTCCCAATTTAGGCAGGAACTCATGCATAGAAAGAGCCCTTACCAGAAAGCCTAAAATGCACCAAGATGGGCACTGACTATTTGCTTGCAAGGAGGACACATGGGAAGGATATGTTCAGGTTGAGGATTTTCCTAAAGGAGTTGGATTTCCTCTCCCAGGCTTACATCTGCCCTGTTTTTTCAACTACTTCTTATTCCTCAGCAGATGTCTTTAATGTATTCGTGTGCCAGCAAATTGGAAAATGGGCATTGTATCTAGACATAATCTCTGTGACCTTTTGGAATCGGCACATCTCTCCTGGAGCAGGGAGTTGAGCCCCTCATTTCTTTGGTATTGGGATCTTTCCTGGGAAAGCTTCGTCCTCCTTGTATCTAGGCTGGGCATCTATTTGGTTGTAAAAACTGGGCTTTGATTGGGATGCAAAAGTAAAAGCCTTCATTTGTCAGGGCAGCTCCTAAGGTCCCTCCAGGACAGCAAAGCCAGGAGATGAAAAGCCAAGGGGCTAGGGCTGTCAGGGAGGCAAAGCTGCTAACTCTCATTTCTAAGGTCTTGAGGTCACATCAGCGTCAAATCAAGTTCATCCGTGGTGTTTCCGATGTCAGTTTCATTTTGAATCAGTGCCTCAAGTGAAATTCATTACAATTGAATATAGTCATCATAACCAGCAGGTGGCTAGTAATTTTTATTTTAAAATATGGCTTGAAATTACTTAGTTTCAGGAGCTACCTTGAGCTGAAAATCAGGCTTGTTGCCCATCCGGGGTGCTGCACATTGTCGTTTCAAGACAATGAGCTTCTAGTGTAAGCAGCATCTGATGCTGACTGGCTGTAGGGAAGCCTCAAAACACCGTGGCTTTGAATGACCAGAGCTGATCCCGTAATTTCCTACAAGAGATGCCTTACTTTTTTCCCAGAAGTATACAGAAAAGTCAAACTTTCTCACTGCTTTGGCCTGAGGACAAACATATTTTAATTGAGTTAACCCAGATTTTCTGGGAAGCAGAGATTTTTACCTCTGACCAGGAGTTAAAAGGGCTTCTCAAAGCCAAACCATGAAAGCACACCAGTGGGTCAGTGGGAAGGAGAAAATAAGGAAAGAAAGATAATACAGGGAGTTTTTCGTAGACATGTTTATTCAATTTAGAAAGCTCTCCTTTATTCCAAATTCATGCATTTAAAGTGTTAAATTATCCTGTGTGCAAGTGTGCATGCTTTTGTCCATTTGATACAATGTCTACTCATGTAAGAAGAGATGGTCATCAGAAATGTTACTTTTTTTAAACATGTGTTGACAAAATAAGTGAAGAACTCTGTGTTAGACCCCAAACTATTTTATTGTTCAACATTACACTGAAAGAAACCTTAAAGTAGACAGATTTCCTGGAGTAGGGGATTTGTTTATAAGAGGAAAGATTCCCCTGGCTAATGGGACGGTAAAGGGATAAATTAAAGTGAAAGATAAGAATGGAGCTAAAATTGTCTGGGGCCTGAAAGAGCGCATTGTGGAGAAGGGGTGAAAAGACTCTAGAAGTCTGAGAAGAGGGATGGGGCACCTGCTCCTGGGCAACTAGTGCTCCCAGGGGTAGAGTGCTATAAGGAAAGGCAGCTGGTCTCACCAAAACATGGGTCATCTGTTTCCCAGCTACAGCCAGGGAAAACCCCTAGACATTCCCAACACCCGGAAGCACTGCAGAATTTTGGTTTCTTCCCCCTAATGAGCTGTGTGACCAGGACTCTGCAGTTGCCTTCCATACAACCTCTGCCCTCCTCCACACCTCGGAGTCCTGTTTCTTAGAACTCTGTTGTCTGTGGACTCAAAGTTCACAATAATCTTGCAGATATCACACCCAAGACATCTGGCCAGCTGGCAAGGTGTAGAAGTGCCCAGCCAGGCTACAAGGCTGGTACTGGGCCACATTCTGTTCATAGTAACTGGGAGGGCAGATGACATCGGCCAAGGGGGCTCCACAGAGGAATGGCAGGGTCTGCAGTTCAGTGAGCGAGAAGGCTGGGACTCTCACAGAGGCAGTTACAGGTGGTGGCTGCAATTAGTGTTATTATACACTTTAGGCAGTTACAAGAGGAAAGAATGAAATTATTTAAATACACTAGTGTCCACTTTAATACTGAGCCTGTTTTTGAGAAGGGAGATCAACTCCAGACATAGGCAAAATGATAGGGAAAGTAGACAAGTTTCTGATCTGTGGCCTTCCTTGCTTTGGCCACTGGGTTTAGTTTTGAGAACAAAGGATACCCAGACTTAGTGAAATATTTATGATCTCATTGTTCCTGTGTGTCAGGAGTCTAGGAACAGCTTAGCTGGGTGCCTGTGGCTCAAGGTTTTTCATGAAGTTGCAAACAGGATGAGCTCTACCTGAGATGGGAAATCCACTGCCAGCTCACTCTCCAGGCCCTTGGCAGATCTTGGGGGCCTTGCTTCCTCCAGATGGGGTTTCCCCATATGCAGCCTCAGAGGGCTCACAACATGGCAGCTCACAATCCTAGAGAGAGCCAGAGAGCACCGAGACCGGAGCCTGACCTTAGATGTGACATACTTTGTTCTTACCATATCCTAGTCATGAGAAGTGAGGAACTAAGAAGACTCACATATGGGTGTGACTCCCTTGGGAACCGTTTTAGAGGCTGCCTGTTCCAGCCACCCTCCTTGCCTTCATGTTAATAACAAAAGTGATAATGGATGATACTAGCTTAGCAAGGCTGCCGTGAGAGCCAAGGAGCAAGACCCCAAAGAGCTTTAGAAACAGGTCCTGGACAGGTAGTGTGCTCCAAGGGACCAAACTACGCAGGCCAGAAACATTCATTTTAACAGCATTCCAGGCACACTTTCAACATACTAACTTCAGAACCACTTACATAATTTTCTTTCTCTCAACTGAGAAGGAAAAAAAAAAAACAGGCAGAGAAATTAGGCAAAAATGGGCTGTGAGGGAGGCAAGAGGCAAAATTTTCTAACCCTTAGTCACTCCTCCTAGGCCTTGTCATCTACGTAATGTTCCTGGGCTAGGTCTGTCCACAGGGAAGCCTTTAGCTAGCAGAAACCCTGGCTATTCCAATTTCACTTCACCAGTGGAACCTCCCCAGAGCAGTGCCCATCCTCCCCCAGAATCTGCCATCACTCAGCATGGTCCATGTCCCACCTCCCACAGTGCCCTTCTACCCCACGGCAGCTTATGAAGCCAGGTCGCCACCACGGCCCTCACAACAACAAATGTATTTGCAAATACATAAACACTTTTTTATTTTTTGATAATATACCCTGAAGTACCACTGGGCTTTCTCCTTGACAACTGTAAATGCTCATTATTTTACCCAGAAGAAAATGGACTCGTGTCTAGCTGCAGTTTATGGCAGAAGGAAACAGGTGACTCTGACCATCAAATCACATTATCAGCTGGAAGGCATGGTGAGATTGGATCAAAACCATCCCCTTTCCTGCCAGAGAGAATGCTCCTCAAAATAGTCCTCCCATGGGTGGTCTCTTACTTCATCCCCCAGGCAGTCTAAAGCTTCTCTCAGCCCTCATAATTATTATATATATATAATATGTATTATATATATAGTATATATGCTTCCTGTTATGATTTTCAGCCTTTTCTCTCATTCCGACCTTTGGGGAAATGAAGAACCGATGCTTTCACAGCTTTTAATATTTATTATGTCACTGCTCGGCTCTGTTCTGCCAGCAGGGGAGGTGGGGACACATGTTGCTGCTTTTTAACTTTTTCTGCTTTGATCTGCTTGGCCTCTATTTTTGCTAGCAAGCAGCCTTGCTTTTATCTGAGTAGATTAGGGCTGTAAGTTACATCTGGGCAGACACAACTGAAATAGCATGATTTATTTTTTACAAATACTACCAACAAGTGACAATTAAAAATTATAATCAACTGTTCCTATTGCCACCTAAAAATGAGGAATGTAAAAACATTACTTTGATAGCTGGTCTAATCTGATTTGACTGAACTTTAATAGTTTCCAGAGACATTGAGAATTAAAATCAGAGACAGTATTTTTCTTCCCTATTTTTGACTATGTGCACAATAAAGCCCTCTGAGTTTTATAAATTAATCAGCATTTCCAAGAATTATAAAATGTACTGAATAGTCTTCCAAAGCAACAGTAAAATTAAGTTCATGTTGCACAGTCGTTTTTATCTGTGGTTTCTTTGCAAAATCTTGGGGGAAGGTGGATAAAATGCAGTCCTCATTTTAGACAGGAACTTGACATTAAGAAGTGGCTAGCGGTGACCACCAAGGATGTGACAAAGCCAGAACTAGCACTCAGTCTCCTGGCCTGTAACCCTAAGTTCTTTACATTTAATACCATTTTAAAAACAAACACTTCACAACGATTGCACTTCAACACACGTTACAGATGTAAGGATATGATATCTGCTGTTGCATTTGTGTTCTCACTGCTGAGAATTTACTAGCATTCCATCACCACAATAGTTATCTAAATAAGAAACAGAACCCTATCACTATGTCTGGGAAAACTATCTTCAAAGTTCCACTAGTGTGTGCTATGCCAGTGTAGACAAAACGTCCTCTGGTGTACAAAAGTAACACACCCAGAACAAGCCATGAAAACAAGTGACCAAGCGTATCTTACTTACAGGTGGACAGAATCATGGCTGCCTTTCTGCAGGGACACAAAAGATAATCTTCATTTCTTCAGCCAGGCTCCTCTCACAAAAACACATCTTTTAACTGAAATCATCATTCGCCCAAGATGTTTCTCACGGGCAAAGTTAACCCCACCTATTTTCCTATTCTAAAAACCTCAAAGCATGTGAATGACAAACTCATGGCCTACATAAGAAAGTTTAATCATTTGCATCCTGAGGGGGGTTATTATTTCCTCCTTCCTATATGTGTAGGTAGAGACTACAAACAACATTTTCAAGAAATCACAAAATTTTTGTAAAAGGGGCCTCAAAATCAAGTCAGACTGCCCTTTCTGGACATACAATGAAATAAAGAAACAGATAGGATAAGGGACCTGGCCTAAAGTTACACAATCAGTGGTAAAAACAAATGGATTCTAGGTTTTAGAATACCAAGTTCTGTCCCAGGACTCAGGATTAACATTTTAGGGACCTTATTTGGGGGTGCAAGACAATCCAATGATACACATAAAAAAGTGACTACTCTTACAAGGTGACTTAGGCACTGCTGGGAAATATGAAAACAATAATATCAACAACGCAAAATGCAATACAGAGTTTCACTTCATCCCACTGGAAAACACAACCAAAAATTAACTAGTGAAAGGGGCAACTTTAATGAAGACATAGCATATTCACATTGCCCTTGCTATTTCCTGCCTTATAGATTAATATCTTTTTAGCATTCTGGGTACATACTTCTATTTTTTTACTTCATCTTTTGCCTTAGCTATAAAACTTTAAATTTTAGAGAAAATATTAAAGATTTTTGAAGAAAATGTTCCCAAGTATTATCTTTCTTGTTTTCCTATCAGAAGCATTGATGACAGGGTAGGAACTGTAGTTTCTCCTCACTCCACCATAGCCTTGTCCTTCCCACACTCCTCAGATGAGAAGGGAAGGGGCTGAAGAATGGCAGGATAGTAAGGCTCAGCTTCCCTAAGGCCTGCTCCTTGGATGAGCTACAAGTTACTTTCAAGGTGTGTATGTTTTTGTGATGGGGACACAGTTAAATAGGAAGATGAGGAGGCACGTGGTAAACTGTGACACAAATGTGGAAAACTGTGACTCTCTCCCTTGTAAAAAATAAAAAATAAATAAAGTCCAAGAATGAAATGAACACTGTCTTCAGCAGATGGACTCCAGACCACAAAGATGTTTCTCCAGGGTCAGAGTGAAGATGCTACTTGGAGCAGCTGGCTCCAGCCTGTGTGTTCACCAAATGCCTCATGGTGCAGGAGAGACCATGGCAGTCCCAGAGGGGACGGAACTCCTGAAGGAAGGCACCATGTCTTCCTCAGCTTTCTACTCCCACAAATACCAAAAATGTGTTTCCATGGTCTCTACTGGTGAATGAGACAGTATTTTTTCCATGGGGCTCATGAGGACAAAGGCAGGCTCCAATTCAGTTAGTGTCTTAGAGGTGGTTAAGGGTGACAACCCTCCTCAGAAAAAAGGGGCAGCAGGGTTTATGGGGAGGCTGTAACAGACAGTATCGCTGAGGTAGGAGGCAAAATCTAACCAGACCCCTTAGAAATATCTGGAAGACCACTCAGAACACCACTTGCATCTCCCTCAGTAGCTTCCTTTACTCTGCCGCAGCTCAAGCTGGAGGAGGGTTTGTCTTTGTTAACATCACCTGGTCCTTCTGCTCCAGGGCCCTGCACCTCCAGAGTATCAGGGCCCTGGAGCAAATTCTTAAGATTTAGGAACCAATTGATCCCTCTTTTTTTTCATATTTCATTTTTTTTTTCATATTTTCACCTGATTCCAATTGGCTGTGCCCACCGTGGGCAGGTTCACATATCCATAATTCAGGCCCCATGGGGGCTTAGGGTGGAGAGACATGCCCATACATGTCTGCCTAAGTGAAAGGGAGTTAAAAAGGACCCACTTTCCTCTCGCAGATAAGGAATATTTGATCTGCCAGAAAGGAGCTCTCTACTCCTTAGACTCTCTAATCCTAAGAAGGTGAGTTGGAAATATTACAAAATTAAAATACAACTTATGTTTCTTATAAATATATAAGAATTACGTATTCATTTGAAAGATAACTCGTGTTTCTTATAAATATATAACTTTATATATTATACGTATTTACAAAATATACAGCATACAAATATTTTAAAGGTAATACTAAGAACAGTCTTGAAAACAGAGATGTTTTCAAAACAAAAGATAGGTGCTTATCCAAGGTAGAGTCCTGATTCAGACAGTGCCCCAGGTCCAGATTTCTGTAGAAGTCAAAGGGAAGAGAAGGGGCCTACAACATGGCTCCAGTACCCTCCCCTTCCCCAAGTACCCTGACCTGCTACTGGCACCAGCTAACACAGTCCCATGAGTACCCCCAAAGCGGGCAAAGTGCCTGGCATGCTGTCAACACTCAGGTTGCTGAGGAATGATGAGGAGTGAGTGTTTTGGGTCACCAGCTCTAACATTTCCACAATGTGGATGGCTCAGTCACAGAACTAAGGCTGCTCTAGAAGCAAATGCTGTAGGTGTTTGATTTTGTAAGTTAGCCAGTCCACACATCCAGGTGCCAAATTAATTCAGCCACAATTGCTATTTCCTCCTCAGGGTTCAGGATCCAGAAGCCCCTGGTCACAGCACCATTCATCTTCCAAAAGTTTCTTCACATTCAACTAGTTCATCGATCGTGTGCAGCAAATCTTCAAAAGAAGGCCTTCCCTCTGGTTTCTACCATTAAAAAAGAAAAACTGTGGGTGACAGAATTCACTAGAAAGAAAGGTCCCATTGCTCCAACTCCTGTAACAGAGACCACAGAGAGGGGACCACAGCTTTGGGGCTGGGAGAGTCAAGCCTCTGTCTGTCTCTGCTCTGATTACCTCCCTGTACTGCTGCTAGACAAATATCTCCAAGACAACACTTTCGAGTCCCTGTTCAAGGACCTCCCAGAGCTCCCCGGTGCCTGTGAAATCAAGTCCTGCTCCTGTGCAGAGAGCTGTAACCTGCCCTTCCCCCACCCTTTGTTACCCAGTTTCATTTCCCACAAAACTTCACATGGGCTCTCTTCTAAATGAGACTGATCTCCACCCTTGAGTATGCACCATGTTTATAACCACCTCCTTACCTTTTTGCTGTTCTCCTCTCACCCCTAGTACCACTTCCTGCCCAGAATGTCTCTGCCTGTCCCAATCAGTGCTCTTGGGAGGCATGACTGTGAGCCTGGGCTATGGGGCCAAACCAGCACCTCCTGTTCTGTAGCTAACTGGCCTGGGCAAGCATAAACCTCCTCAGCCTTAATCTTCTCATCTACCAAGCAGTCACTGTAAAAGCCTCTATACCTGAAAGGGTTGTTTTGAAACTAAATCTAAAGCACTCAGTACAGGGCCTAGTACCCAATACATGTGAGATAATGTCACTGTTTTTCAAAAGTTGTTTTGGTGTCTAATCTCTTCCATGAAGTGACATTACAGAATTTCCAGAGACTGAGTAAAGAGAGTTGGAAAGTTGAAGTTTGGGAGGAGAAATTCTCCTTGGGAAATGAGTGAGACTGTAGCTCCACGAATGACTCAGGGAAGGAAAGGAACAACTTCCCAGGCCTGTTGCCTAGTCCCTGGCTCAGTCAAAGGTGGAAAGATTGCCATTTGGGAGTAAGAGAGCAGCCTGAGTTTATGAAATTAATTATTAGCATTTTCCAGTTCTTTTCAGTACTCAGAACTGACTTTTGAGGGTTGGCTTCCCACCAACAGCTTGAAATCACTATAAAACATGCACCACATTCCGAGGATACAAAGGCTGTATGTTACCTACCCACCAAGCCCAACCCCCACAAATTTTAGAGACTCATAAGAGAAAAAGAAATATCTATACCTCCTGCCAACATCTCAGCATCACCTCATACACATATTTGGAGGCCAGCTTTGGCCGGTAGAGTCGGTGACCTCGTGTAACCATGGTTACCACTTCATAATTGGTGTTTTTCTCAAAGGGCATTCGGCCTTCAGTGAATACTTCCCACATTAAAACACCTGAAAAAGGACAAGGGTTACCAAATGATGTGCCAGTTTTCTCCTCAAAGCAAAGTGAGGAAATGCAGAGCTGGGAGCTTACCAAAGGACCAGACATCTGATTTGCTGCTAAAACGGCTATAATTAAATACTTCAGGGGGACACCACTTCACAGGGAATTTAGCACCAGAAGAACTTGTGTACTGATCGTCCAGAACATACCTGAAGGAAGACATACCATGGGTTTGCACCTCTGAAGTACAATCTATATTTTCCACATGTGCTTTCATTTTTCCCCTTACAATCAAAAACACAGTTGACTAAAGTCCTGCTAGCATCTGGCTGAAGCTGAAGGCCACCTTAGTGACCACACCCAGTGATTTCCATCTTCCTCTCAGCATAATTTAGGGGCACTGGAGGGATATATCACAACATTACTATTGACACTTTCATTTTTATGTTCATCTTTTTATTTTATTAGGCAGTAGGGGCAGAATACAATAAAACCGTTTTCAAACTTTTTTTTTTTTTTTTTTGGCACCGGGGATCGAACTCTGGTCCTTGCGCTTGCAAGGCAGGCGATGGAACCACTAAGCTAAATCCCCAGCCCCTCAAACTTTTTTTAAAAGCAATTTTACTCTTTACCAAAATCTTATCCAAAGGCCCATATGGGAAAGGAGAGCTGCCCTAAAGGAAGTGGTGAACAGGGTGCACAGAAACACATGCTTTGAGCCCCCCATGACTCCGAAGAACACAACTTAAACTACAGTATATAAAAAAAGCAAATTAAAAAGGCAAAATCAAGTATGTAAATGGTGGTGTACACATTTATACAGCACCACATCTCCACCCCACACATACATTCAGAACAATACCATATCATTTTTCTATGTGCATACACTTATGTCCTTCTGGAAGAACACACAGAATCTATAACAGTGGCTCTTTCTGGGGAGAATCTTTGATTAGGGGTGGTAGATGTGAGGACTTCAGCCCTTTCTGTGATGTATTCTGTATGTCTTTATAAGGGGAATGTATCTATTATTCTATGTGCAAATAATTTCTAAAAGTTGCCATGAGAAAATATTCAAATAAATGCACAAACTTCCTTTGTTGTACTCTATAGACAAAGATGGTCACTGGCAGACAATGCCACCATGGGCTGCATCAAATTGCTGTCAGTCAGGGGAGTCTGAAATTATTACACAGAGTGTTTTACAGTGGCTGATATGAAAACACAAATGTTCTAAAGGCCAAATATCTGAAGAAGGAACATATGAAAATGAAAGACTGTCCATCAGATACTGAATGCCTTTATATGAAGCAACTGAGAGTACTGGGTAGTGAACACCTCTAAAGTGAGAGGCTGACAGCGACAGCTTTCTGACCTCCCTACCCTGAGCTTGCTTAGGAGCTGATCTTGGCTCCACAGGACCCAGTCCTCACCTGCCATTTTCACTGTTCCCAATGATGCCTATGGGCCAGCTGCCTGGCCTTCATCCAGTTCCCTGAGCAGCCCAAACTCATCCCAAGACATCAAGCTTTGCTCTTGTTGCTCCTTCCACCTAGAATACTTCATGCCTAGATTTTCACCTAATTGATCACTTCTACCTTTGGATCTCTCTTTATTGTTCCCATCTCAGAGGGTCTTCCTGGCCACCAGATCTAAGGAGCAGCCGTCACTCCTGACCCACCCTAAGTTATCTCTGTCATAGAGGCTGGCAGACATTTTCCTGGAAAGGGCCAGATATTATACACAGCCATGTAGATCCATAGGCCACACAACCCTCAAGTGCACCTGTAGCATGAGTGCAGCCACAGACCACACTTTGGCAAATTTGCAATGCTCTGTCTCAATAATGTTACTTTTATCAACACTGACTTTGGAATTTCAGATAATTTTCAGCCTAATAGTCTTTGAATTTTCTTCAACCATTTAAAAATAAAAACCCCATTGTTGCCTCACAAGCTGAACAAAAAAAGGGATAGGTCAGATTGGCAGGCCATCATTTTCGGCTGGCCCCTGCTCTGACACATCCATTTATTTGCAGGTCTTATGTTTCTCCTTCCTCCACACCATACAGTGCCAGTGGGTGGGGTGCACACAGCTTGGTCTCTGCTATGGTTCATGTGGTTGTGCCTGGCACATAGCAGACACCTAATTTTTACATGTGGAGAAATGGATAGAGGGAAAAAGTGACAAACTAAATTCTTATTAAGGTCTTTTCTAATACTCTACTGAAACTACAAAATGTAAGTGAACAAAACACTGTAGGTGCGGTTACACTATGCATTTGACCACCAAACAATGTCTTGTGAAAACAAGAGTTTAGAAATACAACCCACACTGTGGAGCAAAAAGTGGTATATTTAGCAGGCTACACTACCACCTAGTGGAGAGAATTATTAACACCGTGATGCATATGGTTATCTTAATAGGTTTGTCTCAGAGCTAATATGATTTCCTTATTAATTACCACACTTATTAATTCCACACAACAATGTGTGCGTGAATATTCACTTCCAAGCACATCTACACAACCATACCTGGCCATTCCAAAATCACAAACTTTCACAACACCTGCCTCGTTCACTAGACAATTTCTTGCAGCCTGGAAAATAATAGAGTGGCATATTAAAAAACTCTACACTAGCAGTAGAAAAATATAGTTTCTGCTATTATTTGCTGTAATTCAATCAACATTTACAAAGGGTAGAAATCCCTTCACACAAATTATTTTTATCCCCATGAAAGTGTCTCCAGTGATATATGAAACATCGGGTAGAAAGAAAAATAGGGTCAGAAGGTCATGTTTGCAATAAGGCATTATTATATCAACCTTAGCAATGGTTCACATCTAAACAAGGACAGATAGGAAGGTCAACCCATTTTTTTCCCTTCCAGGTCTATTCTCATTAAACTATGTGATTTTCTTACTAAGTATCAACACCTCTTGAAATCCTTCATCCACATTCTCAGTAGTAAGTTTAATAACACAAAACCATCAGAGTGAAGGTCAATCAGTGGCTGGTCACCTCGATCCCAAACAGTCAAAAGAACAACTGTAGGTAAACAGTGTCCCACTCATCATTTATGAGGTTTCCAGGATATTAAAACATTCATGGTGCCTCCACTCAATGGTCAATAGGATTTTTCTCGTGGGAGATGGAAGCATGAGAATCTTCCCTCAAGGGGTGGCACAAACCTAGCAGACATGGCATTTGTCAGAAAATATATTTTTCATGTTATAACCCATGAGCAGAAATGTAGTTTTCTCCCTGATTGTTCAGAATCTTATTTTATATATGTGGCAATTCCACTTATAAGATTTTTTTTCTCCTAATGAATACATTTTCCTTATTCATTCATCTGTGCATGGACATATAGGCTACTTCCAAAATTTAGCTTTTATGAACTGTGCTGCTATAAGTATGGGTATGCATGTAATATGGTATCTTTAACTCTTTCTGGAATATACTCAGGTATAGTGGTGCACACCTATTATCTCAGCACTCAAGAGGCTGATGCAGGAGGTTCACCATGAGTTTGAGCCCAGCCTGGGCTACATAATAAGTAGTTGAGAGAGAGAGAGGGAGAGGGAGGGAAGCAGTAAGAGTACTCTTGAGCCAAACGTCCCAGGTTCAAATCCTGTCTCCACAATTTACTGGACTACTGTTGTTATTTTACTTATTTGTGCCTCTGTTTCCTCATCCATAAAATGGGAATAGTAATAGTACCTAGTTTTAGGGTTACTCTGGTGATTAAATGAGTCTATATTTGTAAAAACAATGCCTGTTTTAAGTAACTGATTTTTTTTCAAATCACTTGCTGCTACTCTAGACGAAACATGTCCTTACTTTATCACAAGAAAGCTAAAGATAAAATATGGGGGAGAGTCCTAAATGCAAATCGTATTTTATTTTGGTTGAAGAATTAAAGTAGACTGACAGTGGTGTGGACAGATATGCTGAAAACAAACACATGTGTGAAGAACACATGGAGATGAAAAACAGAAGGAAAGAAGAATTGAAGAGAGCAGGAGAAACAAAAAACTAAGAAGTGTCTCCGTCACAATAATTTAAAACCAGTACCAGATTTCTTTTTCTGTACTTTCACAAGTTAAGGTGAGCCTACATCTTTTCCCAGTGTTATGAGAGATAAAAGAAATTAGGAATTTCTCAGACAGTTTCTGTTTACAATGTGTGAAGTGGAAAAGAGTTTAGGAGTTAGTCAGAAGGCAGGCCAACCCTAGCTTCTCTGTTTTATCATGCTAGGTAAGTGTATTCACTTCCCTGAAGCTAGCTCTCTTATCTCTAAAACAGTGATGATGATAATAGACCTCCTATGGCTAGCTATCTCCTGTGATTTTTGTTTTGTTTTGTTTTATTTTGTTTTTTTTGGTTACCAGGGATTGAACTTGGGTCCTTGCACTTGCGAAGCAGGTGGTGGAACCACCGAGTTAATCCCCAGCCCCTACCTCATGGGATTTTTATCAGGAGATCAAATAACAATGCATGGAAACTTGATTGGGGATATTCTATAAATTATTGAGTTAATAAAAATATTTTCTTTAAAATCATGAGGTGAGTCAAATTTGCAAAGTTTAAAAATAATGCTGAAACACTGTTAAAAATAAAAACTGGGTCCTGATCCATCAGTGATCACTGGCTGACCTAGTGTGACGGAGGAGACCAAGCAGTGTGTGGGAAGACAGGGCGTGGGGTTACCAGGTCTCGGTGGATGAAGCTGTTTCTCTCCAAGTACTCCATCCCTTCACACACGTCCTGACACATGCTCAGCAGCACATCTCTGCTCAAGAGGCCTTGTCTCTGCCGGAGGAAATTCAGAAGGCAACCCCGCTCCATGAACTCAGTAACGATGTAAATTGGTTTCTGCTGAGTGCATACACCATACAACTGTACCAGCTTTGGGTGGGTCAGCTTCCTGGGTGTGAAATCATACACACACAGTTATTACAGGAGAAAAAAAAACAGCAGGTGGATTAGCTGGGGAGGGGGCCCGCTTCTTAATACAAAAACAAAGCCTGGAAGGAGACCGTGACTTACATCATCACTTTAGCTTCTTCTATAAAGTCCTCCTCGCACATGGCACCTTCTCTGATCGCTTTGATGGCTACTTTGTACTGGGCTCGCCACTTGCCGAGTCTCACCACGCCAAACAGCCCACTCCCCAACTCCCTCATAAAGGTCAGCTCCGAAGGGTTAATCTCCCACTTCTCTGTAAGACAGAAAGCAACAACATTTACTAAGGAGAAAGCAGCATCAATCAGTGTGGACAGAGGAAGGCTAACCAAGACTGGATCCAAGTTACAGGATAACACTGTAACCAGTACTGGGGAAGCACAAAACGGAGCTGCAGCTGCATCTGACCGCACAGGGTGGCCTTCTGTATCTTTCTAAACTGTCAAGCAAAGGAGCACGGAAGGAGGAAAGTGCATCAAAGGCTAATAATGAGAGCTGAAAGCTGAAGTACTTTAAAAAAAACAAATACTACCTCCTTTATCACTCTTCATCCTGGATTTGTTGAGTTTCTTTTTTTCTTTTTCCCTTTTACCAAATTAGAAAGAATTAAATCTGCTGTTTAAAAGGCTTTTGCCAGAAGCAACAAAAACAATCAAGTTAGAAGCCTTCTGTTACCTCCACCCTTGCATTCCTGAGAGTAAACTACAAAGCCACTGCAGACTGGGAAGGGCTAGGATTTATTTTAGATGTAACACAATAAAGTTTATTTTTCATTCACAAAGTTTTCTGCTGAATTACGAATGAATGAAAATAGAAAACCTACTCTGCCATAAAGAAGGATAACCTTGAGTCATTTGTAGAAAAATGGATGTACCTTGAGACCATAATGTTAAATGAAATAAATCAGACACACAAGCTTAAATATAGCATAGTTTCTCTTAAATGGGAAACCCAGAATATATCAAAGAGCAAAATAAAAGATAGATAATGGGAAATAGGGAGACAGATCTTTTGCAGATGGGAAGGGGACCAAGAGATAAGAGGGAAGGGAAAGTAGGGGAGGAGAGGGAGATGAAAAAAGAATGTTGGTGTGCGTGTGTATGTACCACCAACTCCCCACAAGGGATGCAATCATTGTGTACTTCAAACATGTACTAATAAAAATTAAAATTAAAAAAATAAAATAGAAAACTTAGGCTTACAATGGCTATGAAGTATAATCATCCAAAGACCCAAACTATAAACTTATTTTTAAAAAAACAGTTCCACCAAGTAGAAATTTATACATCTAAACTTGTTTTGTGATTAAGGATTCAAAGAAAATTAGTCAATGCAACCACAAAGTGAGAGTTACCATAGCTAAAGCCTGCAGTGGTTGGCGCATTCTTCCCCTTTGTACTAACGGGATACCGCAGCCTTGTGACAAGTCCTAGAAAGCAAAGAAAGTATCACAGCTGAAGTCATTCTTAATCATGCTACATGGCCAAATGCTAAATGAGAAACACACTTGTAAAATACTTTCATTTATTAATTTACTGCTCACCTGTGTGGACACACAGCACTGTGCTATATGCTTTCATTTATTCAACACACTATCTTTTAAACACTATAGTTTTTATCAGTTTTTACAACACTAGCTTCCTCTTTTCTGGAACATTTAAAGGATATTAAGACGTTTCTAACAGTTGCTACCAGCAATTACTTCATTTTCTTTCCCAGTACGAGAACTGAAAAAGAATTATATTGGTCTGCTTCAAATTAAAATGATTTGCCTGACATAACTCAATGTTAGCAATTTTTACATAAAAATTGGATTCAAGGGCCGGGGATTTAGCTCAGTGGTTTCACCGCCTGCTGCGCAAGCGCAAGGACCTGAGTTCGATTCCCGGTACCCCCCCAAAAAAAAAAATTGGATTCAGATATTAACAAATGGGAAACATCAACTATTGGAAATCACTGAAGTAAGTTTAATCTTGTAACTTAAGTTGTTTATGGCAATAAATAAGAAACAGAAAGTGCTTCTATAAGCATCTAGAGCACTCCATTTCTTCTACTGTGGCATTTGTTGTAGTAATTTAAAACTGTTATATACACCTTTGTTTTCCCTCAGAGGGTAAGATCTGGGAGTATCAGCATCAGTGACTATCTACTCCCACACATTCTCCCCAAAACCTAGCTTGTTTTCTACCATGTAGAGTGCTAAATACATGTTTGTCATGAATTGAAATAATGGTAAACATAAATCTTATTCAAGAACACAAAAGAAAAAAGCAGGCGAACGTTAACACCAAAAAAAGAAAATAACAAGAGATATAAAAAAAGTTATTTGGGGATAATCAATATGAATTAGTTCCTCAAATACTAAGCAAAGAATTCCTATAAAAATCTAGCAAATGCACTCCTAGGTCAATACCAAAGGGAAAATGAAAACATAATTCCACACAAACATTTGTACACAACTGTTTCTAGCAGCATTATTCATGGAAGCCAATATGAGGAGACAACCCAATGTCTGTCACAAACTGATGATAATAATCCATCCATGCAATGGATTATTATTTATCCATAAAAAGGAATGGATGCCTTATCCAGAAGGCTGCCTAAATTAGAAATTTCACCTTCCCAGGACCTCCTTCTTAGAATATATTAGATGTAAGCAGAATACACAAGCTAATTTCTAAAGGTTGTATTCAGCAAACTCATCAAAACAAAAACTATTACTGGAGATGTATAGTTGTCCAGAATCTTTAGTGATATCTTCAGCAATTTCTCCCCCAACCTCAATATGTCTACAGTTGTGTACACCCAGCGGCGCCTTGGTTTCCATAAATAGATGAAAGATTCCTTCTTATTGCAACAGGTGAAGATTAAGATCTTGACTCCCTAGATTTGGAATTAGAGAAGCTGATCCTCTGTCTTACTATTTAGCATGACACACTGCAGAACTGTTGTTTTATTTATGAGTTAAATGTAGATTTATATGTTGACCTGAGAATCTAACCATTCCACAAATGTGCTAGCTTCTGCATGGTAAATCAATAACTAGAAGTTATTGTGAAATTCCTGTGTGTCCAGCCCTGTGCATTTTTATATTATCTAATTATTTCAACAAACTTGTGGTGTACCTTTTTCAATAAAAAAAAAGGAATGGAATACTTACACGTGATACAACATGCACAACTGTCAAAAACATTAAACTGTCACAAAGAAACTAGTCACAACAGACCACATGTTGCAGATTCCACTTAAACAAAATGTTCAGAATAGGCAATTCTATAGAGACAGAAAGTAGGTCAGTGGTTGCCTGGGGCTTAAGGATGGATAGAGGGTGAATGTTAATAAGTACAAGATTTATTTGGGGAATGATGACAATGCTCTTAAAATTAGATTACGTTTTCAGCACAACTCTGTAAATATACTAAAAACCACTGAATTGTGTACTTTAAATGGATAAATTTTGGGTGTGTAAATTATATTTCAGTAACTGTTCCTATCATTATCTGAAACAAAGTAAATGCACCCACAAAAGAACAACAGGTTTTGCAAAAAAATTGCTTTGTTAAAATCCAATCTAGATATCTTCATCCTAAGGAACATCAACAGGCATGAATGTGATTTCCGTTCTTACTGTTTTGGTGTTTGTTTTGTTGCCACACAGGTGCTAAGTGTTGCTGAGAGTCAGAAAGACAGAAAATTTGGGACATTGTTACAGAGGGTTTACAACTTGTGATGGTTTTGACTTAAAAACGTTCAACTTTATAATGGTGCAAAAGCGATATGCATTCAGTAGGAACTGTACTTGACTTTTGAATTTAGATCTTGCTGGCTAGTGATTTGGGCTCTTTCCCTGGGCTGCCAATGTACAGGACTCTCTGGGGATGTTGGGTGGCCCCAGTGAGCCTCAGCTCCCAGTTAGTCAAGGGACTGATCTGCTGCAGTATACTGTGTTGCTAACAAGTGTTCAGTAGGTTCGGTGTAGTAAACACACTTTCAACTTACGCTATTTGAACTTATGATGGGTTTATTGGGGTGCAACCCCATCGAGAGTCCAGGAACATCTATACACTACTCTTTGGAGGCCTGTAGCATAGGATAAAATCCTGGCTCATCTGACAACTTTTGTGATTACCCTAAAATACAAATATATATCACTTCCTTAACATGCAATAATTTTATATCAGTCATACTCTACAATTAACTAACTACAAAACAAAACTGCTCAAGGGAAAATGTATTACATGTCTGATCATTTTAATCACTACGTAATATTTGAAGTAGATATTAATAGCTTACTTACCTGCTGCATTGTGCTTATGATATTCAATAATCTCAGGAATTGAACCAAAAGCATGCTTTTCTGCTAGATAATACTTCTTTGGAGATGTTGTTGTTTCCTTTATATGATAATGCCTGAAACTTGATGAACCTTCCCTATAACAAAAATCAAAGAGTGTTACAACCAAGTTGAAATAATGCAACTTCACTCTTACATGCTTTCTACAAGATAACCACAGGCTCCTTCTGCATGGTCCCTTCTACTTCAGGCACAAATATTATTTTTCTCCATGTTCTTCCTAGCTTTCCCTTTCTATATTAACATATAGAAATTGTGAAAGTGAACACCAGTAATATATATGGTCACTTGCATGAGACTGAAAGAGAAGATTTACTAACTCCAGTCAACAACAGTTGAAAGTCTTAAAATAATCATTGTAAGAGTTACTATCATTTAAAGAGTTACTATCACTCTTTTGTACCTGTTATTGGCATAAATTTGTAAATGTCTAGAACACTTGAACTTCTAAAGTAAATATATTAGATTTATAAATATTTGTATTCCATTTTATAGAACCCAGATCTTCTCTAGATGTCACTTGCTGAAAATGCTTTCAGGATGATTCTCATTGCTCTTAGGGTAAAGGTAAGACTCCTCAACACTAATTGTTATGGCTTGTATCTAAATGTCCCCCCAAAGCCTCATGCACTCATAGGTGGGGCTTATGGAAGGTGTCTGGATCATGGGTATGTGATACTGAAATTAAGGGTGTGTGGTACTAGATAGGTCCACTAATTGGTTTAGCATAGTTTTGAATGGATTTACTGAAGACAGAAGCCCCACCCTGGATATGAGTGGCACCAACCAATAGGCTTGTAGCCTGGGTGGAATAAAAAGGGAAAGGGAGGCTTGCTGTTGCTGCTGCTGCTTGCTGCTTTTCTGCCTACCCTGGCATGGACTGTTTCTCCTCTGCCATGCCTTGCCTTGGAGCCAGCCAACTATGGATTGAAGCCTCTCCAAACTGTGAACCTTTCCTCCTTTAACTTTGGGTGTCAGGTATCTTGTCCCAGCAATGAGAATAGTAACTAAGACACTGATGTTAGCTGGCTTCTGCTTTTACCTCTCAAGTTTCTCTTCCTCCTTCACTTTGTCCCTCCCTCCAACTCAGCTACACATACTTTTTTCAGTTCCTTTAATTCACTGTATCCTCTCTCACCTCTGGGATCAGGTAGTTTCAATGGTCAGAAACTCTCTCCTTCTTTCCACTTTTTTCTGCCTCAGCTTGTATGTTATTTAAGATGACATTCATGAACGACTCAGATATGTCTTGGATATGTACCCTCCAAGACCATCCCCACACACATCACCCTCCTACCATAGCCCTTACTCCTACACCACTATCTCCACCTGTTGCCTGTGTAGTCTCTCCTAAGATACTGGAGGGAAAGATCAGTGCCTACTTTGCTCACTTAGTACTTAGTTCAATGTACAATAATTATTTGTTGAATATTACTAAAGCTTTTACAGCAATGATAGATAGATAGATAGACAGACAGACAGACAATGCCAAAAATTTATACACACTTCAGGAAAAAACAAATAGTATGAGGCTTTTTCAACAGATGGTGTTACCCTTGAAGGGAGGACTTTAGGGGATGTCGTATGTCACAGAAAACCCACTACACTGCCAGCCCTTAGAGAAGAAATTGAAAATTGTATGTGCAGAAACCTCAATGCCAAAGTCACCCAAGCTGCAGTTCACTGTACTAATAAATGTCTGGAAGCTATTAGCCACCACTTTGAGCACCTCTTGTAATTGTAGAGGCCACAGGTAACTTGTATTATTCTCATAATGTCTCAATAAATTTAGAATTAAAATATTTATAAAAGTTTTTCTTTTTCTGAAGTGTGTATACATTTTTGGTGGACTCTGTATATACTCTAAATTTAAAAATAAAATTAAAAAGCAATGAAATATAAAAGAGCAGGATTACTTACCCTCCAAACTTTGTATAAAGGGAGACTGTATATAAGCCTGGTTGACTGGAGTCCCTTACCATAAAACCACCTTCTTTATCCTAAAATCCAAAGTGAGAAATTTCTTTTTTTTTACTCCAATTACTATTATCAATACCATGGAGAAGATTCAAAAACCCAATTTTATGACTATTACCTTTGCCTAGAAAACCTGCTCTGGAGAACTGCAACTTCCCAGTAAGGCCTCTTGGCTTCTACTCCACACTAGTGGGCTATGACTGAAGAAAGCACACTCACACTCCTCACAATCACAAGTTCTCACACCCACTAATGGAGCCATTTCAACTCAGGCCCTTTTAGGGCCCTTTCAGAACTAACAGACAACCGTTTGCAATTTCAGTTGGTCCCAGACACACGAGGAAACAGTGAAAAATATAAATCTTAGACAACTGAGTTTCATTTCAAATGTTTTTCACATTTGCTATAAGCTGCGAGTCCTGACTCAATATCATTTCTATTTACACAGCATTTTTCCTGTAAATATCAAGTGCTCTTTATAAGACTGTACTTAAATATCTTTAATTCCCCTGGAGTTTGATGTTAAATATCACTCTTTACAGAAGGAGAAATGGAGGCACAAGTAACTTCAACAGAAGAAATAAAAGTCAGAACTGACTGAACATTGCTGAATGAGTACAATGCCGAATGAATAATTGTTATCAGGGTCCAAGCAAGAAAAAGAAACTATGAACCTCAAATATTTCCCTACCAACAATCTCTAGTCATATCCATCCTCTGGCATTTACATTGTTTTAGGATTAAAAATTGTGTTTCATGATTGAAAAGCAAAATAAACTTTATTCTTATTCATCAGACAGTAGATCTGAAATAAGGCCCTATAAATAGATCTGAATAGAGCAATTACAAACAATAATTATGCTAATTGATGAATAAAAAATAAAACAGCTTCCATTTGTTTAATGAAAGGCTATTGTTCTAATATGTTCTCATATGTGAATGTGGTACTCCTCTTATCCATGTTTTACTTCACAGGCAAGAAAACAGAGTGTGGAAAGGCTGGATAACCTGCTTCGAGTCATACTGTAAGTAGCAAATCAGGATTGGGACCCCAGACCACCTCACTACCCAGTCCTCTACAGTTGTCTCACACTGTGAGGTCTTCAGAAGGTACACAAGGCCCTCACAGGGATGAGCATCTTAGGTGCAGACTGAATCAGCAAAGTCACCTACACTTGCTTTTTCAGCATAAACTAGAAACAATCGACAAATCTTGACTGGTGGTAACAAACTGGAGGGAAAATGGGAAAGCATGAGTTAGAAGAACTGGAACTACTACTACACAGGATAACTAGATCATAAATGCAGGGAATTGTAGAGGTCATCTTCTACTCCAACCCTACCTTACAGATCCAAAAAGTAGAATAAGAAAGTCACAGCTAGACTCAGGTCTTCTTCAACTAGGTGCAGTTTCCTCTACACTATACTTTATCCTTTCCCTTTAACTCTCTTTAAAGTGTAACAATTTCAGCACATTTTTTTCTAAGACCAATAAATATGTTATTAAAATTTCATTTATAAATGAGATCACATAATACAATTATAAATTATTCTAAAATAAGTAACTTTGAACAAAAAAAGAAAAACACACTTAAGTACTAAAATCAAGATAGCAAATGATAAATCAGCAAGAAAGAAAAAAAGAAAATGTTGCTCATGTATAACTATCACCTACAGTCATGGGTTTCATTGTGTCACTTTCCCCATAACCCCCCAAAACTCTGGAGTCCCAAGCCCCAGTTTTTCAGAATGTGGCCTTCACTGGAGATTGGAAATAGAGGTTCTGTGGGTGTTTTGGGTGTGTGTTTGTGGTTGGATGGATGTATGTGTTTATGACAGGGTCTGGTTAAACTGCCCAGACTGACCTAAAACTTGCAATCCTCCTGACTCACCCTCCGGAGTAGATGGAATACAGGCACCTTCCACCACCCAACTGGAGACAGGGTCCTTACGGAGGTTGTCAAGTTAAAATGAAGTCATTAGGGTAGACTCAGATTCAATATGACTGGCGCCCTTGTGAAACAAAGTGTGTATACCCAGACAGACATGCACAGAGACAAAAGGATGTGAAGGAAAGAGCTTCATCTGCCAGCTATAGTGGGAGGCCTACAGTACAGTCTCCCCTCCCAGCCCTCAGAAGGAACCAACTCTCCTGCCCGCACCTTGACTTTGAGCTGCTGGCCTCCCCAACTGTGAGCCAAGAAAGTTCTGTTGTCAAAGCCACTCAGTTTGTGGCACTTTGTTACTGAAGCCCAGTAAACTAAAACACCAGTGTTTTCTTTTCAATGATGTTGGAAAAAACTTCTTTATATCATAGTCCTTTTTTAGGCTTTAGAAACAAGTATGTGAGACCACTTATTAGACATTCATTAAAATTAACCTGTGCTGAAATCAAGCCCACAAAATAAGCACAACACTTACTTCAATTCTGAGGAGTTGCTCTGCCTTGCTTCTATTTGTATTTCTGCAATACCATCTAGAAAAAAAAATATGTATACTTAAGCCCACAGATCTTTAAGTTATTTTTTATTCTAGGTAGGATTAATAAATTCATCAATAACAAATACAACAAATAAGAACAATGAAAGACATCACTCATAATCTCAATAGGCAACAGTAATATTTTGATGTATCTATTCCAGGCCTTTTACTACCCATACTTTTATAAAAATAACCTATGTATGTCCACATTCTTATTGTTTCATTAAAGTAGAATCAAATTCTACTTGATACATCATAACGTGAATTTTTCATATGATAGACATTTTTACAAATCCATATAGTTCTATGTATATTGGTATGGATGTGTCATAATTCATGTAAGCTATTCTTCATTATTTAACATAAAAAATCATTTCCGATGTTTCATTATTATAATTATAGCAAGAATAGATGTTTTCCACTGATTCAAAGATGCAGGAATGTCACTTTACAGTGTCCTGAATTCAAATTAAATCAGATGTCATCTCAAGTCACTACGGTGGCTCTCCATTGAGTTTCATGAAGGCCCCAAGTATCCAAGAGAAAAGGAGTGAAATTTAAGAGCTGGCTGCTGAGTCGTCCAGACTTGCTGCTTTCCTGCACCCCCAATCCCTCATGGTCACCCAAGCAGCCACACCTTCCCTCCCATCAGTTCCTGACCCTGCCCAAAGCCATACTCTAAAACCCTAGAGGTCCATGCTCTTTAGCCGCCATTTCCCACCTCATCCTCATCCTCCCTACTTCCCTCGATATAATCCCTTCATGTGACTGTAAACAAATGGGCCAAAAGTCTCTGGCTTTCAGTGTCAGATGTACTTAGTTAGATGCTTTTTAACATGATGCCCCGGAACTTCAAATGTCATGAAGCCAGCTGTAAGCCTCTGGGCATTTGAGTTTTCCACCACTGATTTAGCCTAACACAAGAGCCAGCACCTGCTTCTGGCCCAACAAACACCCTGGACAAGTGAACACAAAGGCTTCCCTGATGGAAGAAGGCAAAAATACAAAGAACAAAATACAAGATCTCTTTCTGTCTAGATGCTTTTATATAGCAGACAAATATACATTGCAAATTATTGATTTCAGATATTTTATTTGGTCAGGTCATGAACCAGGCCTCAGAATTTTTAACATCTCATTACTATGGACTCTATGAAATGAGACCAAGTTCAACAAAATTGCAGTGTTGATCAATCCATTTCTGAATGCAATTGAGAAATAGAATTCATTAGGAGAATGAAATGAATTCTGGCCCTAAACCTTTTCCATTGATACAAGACACATCTGCAGGTATCAAAAAGTCATAAAAATAGCTAAGCAAAGATAACTAGAACTTTAATTATGCATTCTAAACTAGTAGGAGATATGAGAAAATTTCTATTTACAAGCAACAGAAGATCCAGTCCCACATCTTCTCAGGGAGAGTAAGCAATGGAGGGTAAGACTCAGGTTCAGCTACAGGAAATCAGGAAAGCTAATCTGTAGCTCTCAGAGAGAAACCAGACATAAAAGACTCAAAGGAGGTCCCTTCCTCATCTACTATATTCCATCTCCTGGGAAGGGATAAAGAAAATAAGGGGGAAAAAAGAATTCACTGAGCAGAGAGCAGACTCTGAAATCCTGTGCCAAGACATCATTTTTACCACATTTTTAGATTCCCTGAAAAGGATGTTTCCATCCTTGGAATTTGATATAGTTTGGATCTGGAATATCCTCTAAAGGACTATATGTTAAAGGTGTGGTCCCCAGGGTGGCAGCACTGGGAGGATGTGAAACCTTTCATGGTAGGTGGGGCCTTGTGTCATAAAGCTGTGTCCTCAAAGGAGACTGTGGGACTCTGACCACTTCCTGTTCCTGTCTTTGCTTTCTGGTCATGATGAAAGCAATTTTTCCCTCCCACACAACTCCCACCATAATGTGCTGCTTGACACAGGCACAAAACAATGAGGCCAATAGGTCATGGACTGGAACCCCCAGAACCATGAATCAAAATAAATCTTTTTTAAAGTTAATTATCTCAGGTATATTTTGTAGTCATGTGAAGCTGACTAACACATGGTATAGACTCAGACTTTAATGGTATGCTGAAGGAAGGCAAGAGTAAAGAGGAATGAACAAATAAACTGATGATTATTTCTCAGTGGCTTTTTATGGCTTTTCCCATGATACCTATCCCCATTACAGTTTGGATCTGGAATGCTCCCCTGCGGCTCACATGTAGAAGGCTTTGTTCCCAGCTGGTGCTGCTATTGGGAAGAGGTGGGGCCTAGTTGGAGGAAGGAAATCACTTAGGAGAATGTCCCTGAAGGGTATTTTGGGACCTAAGCCCCTTCCTCTCTCTGCTTCCTGGTTACCACAAGCTGAGCAGCTTTGCTTCAACATCCCCTCCTTGCAATCCTGTTCTGCCCATCACAGGTCAGAAACAAGGGAACCACCCAACCATGGACTGAAGCCTCTGAAACTGAGCCAAAATAAATCTTTCCTTCTATAGAAACTGATTTTCTCAAGTATTTTATCATAGCAACAGACAACTGACTAACACACCTAGGAAAGGAGAAAAAGAGCAGAATTCATCCTGTCAGAAAGTGACATACACACAGGTGGACTATGAAGAAGCCTGTGTGACATGAATAGACAGAGAGATGGCAGCCATACACCTCCCTCACAAGCCTGACACAGAGACGCCTCATCAGATGTTAACACCTTTGCTGAAGGAGCTCTACCTCTAAAAATCATGGCCAGAATTGTTAGGTAACTTATCAATCTATTCTCAGACATCAAAACCCTAATATCACTTGTTTGAACTGGAATGTCAACTGGACATTCCAGAGGATCGGGAATTCATAGCAGTATCTGGGTAAAGGGAAAGAGGAGGCCAAAGCCTGGTCAGGTTTGTTGGGGAAGATAAATCTTCTTCATGAAAAGACAACAAGTAGACATGAAGGAAAAATATAAAATGACCAACCAACCAGCTATAAAATTTTGCTTGTTCTTCAATTGTGGCCCTGTCTCCTATATTACCCATTCAAAGCCTTTAGCCCTCTACACTCTCTTCCTTTAACATCTTTCCCTCTTGCTCATCCTAATGAATCCACTTTCTTTTCTGGCAGCAGTTGTTCTGATCTTCTCCTCACCAACTGTTCCCTGGGTGTGGAGGTCAGAACTAGGTTACTAAGAGCCCTGGCAGCCATGGGTCTGGCAGTCCTGGATCCAGCCCAAGGATACACTGTGGCCTGGGATTCCCCATCAACCAACCCAAGCAAACAGCAGAATGATCGATTCAACAACTGGCAGGCTTGTTTCCTAGCCATGAGTATATGAGAGAGGTGTTAGGATGGGCTACGGTCAAAATAAAACAAAGCAAAACATAACATAACATAACGTGTAGCAGGAAGACAGCAGAAGAAAGGAACTCTGCCTGCCCACAATGAGGACAGCTTTCCCCTGTCACCTGCTGGGCCTGGCACATTGTCACATGGAGGGGACTCTCACATCAGAGACCACAGCAGATGCAGAGTCACACAGAGGAGGAAAATCCCTTAGAAGGGATTAAATTTCCAAATGAAGATATAACCAAAATGCTTGTGGTCATGAATCATACACTCTGGCACTGAAAATCCTGATTTGAAATCTCATGAGTCATAAGAGGAGTTCTCCTAATTAGATAAGGATTATCTGTTTTTCAAGCACCATCCTCCCCAATTATCAGTTAGTTTTCTGTCCTATCCCTTCGAATCAGGTTCGTTTTCACCTTTTAGGGTGTTCCCTGTTTCTAAGGGTTTTAGTTTCTTTTCCTAAAATGTAATTAAGAGCAGAAACACTATTTTATTTACATAGTCATGCCTCAATGACAAGGATACCTTCAAATGCATTGTTAGGCAATTCCATCATTGTGAGGACATCATAGGGCCTATCACATACAGCTTGATGATGCACACCTCAGCTGTGTACACTACAAGCTTGCACAATACGTTACTGTGATGAATACTGTAGGCAAGTATAACAACTGTAATTATATGTGTATCTAAAACACATTTAAACCTAAAAAGGTACAGAAAATACTAGGCAACAGGAATTTTTCAGCTTGCTCACAATTTTTTAGGACCACTGTCAAATAGAGAATCTCTTTGGGGCCAAAATGTCTTAAGCCATGCATGATTGTATATTGTTTATGCTTCTGCCTATTTCTAAAATCACCAAGTATTTAGTCCTTTTCTAGATATTAAAGTACACTGATGTTATAATAATGACATGGACACAGGCAACAGCTTCTTGAGTTTTTGCTTTGTCTTTAAGGTAGTACAAGACACATTAATATGCTACTTCATAATGACCATAAAAGAGTGCTTGGTACATATGAGCCTTGCATTAAAGCCTGGCCAGGGAGTGCCAGTGGACACGGAACTGTACACCTTCTCTGGAAAGCAGGGTGACAGCATGCAGCAAGAGTCTTAATATGTCATGCATGCAGCCTCTACCATGATGCAGATTTTAAGCAAGAAGAAGTTATCCCAGTTATTTTAATATAGAAAAGATACCAAAAACAACCTAATGCCTCACAAATAAGGAAGACATATAAATTATTGTGGACCCACATGCTGGGTACCTGGTTATACCCCTGAGGTCTAGCAGAGCACCTGATACATGCTAAGAGTGCAGTAAATACTTAATAAATTTGTGACTGAATGAGATATAATGCAGCTTTGAAAATAATTTCAAAGAATAGTTAATAGCAAGAAGTATTTAGTCCTACCATTACATCAGCAAAATTATATAAAACAGTATATACAGCACGATTTTATCTTTTTAAAAATAATAAAAAGATTGAAAGGAAGTGTACTAATGTTGACAAAAGTTGACTCTGATTAATGAGTAAATTTTTATTATTTTTTAGATTCAAAGTTTTAAAACAATAATCCTATATTATTATTTTATAGGAAAAGAAAACAATAACACATTTTTAAAGACCTCTCTGGGAAATGTTATTCCCATATTCCTAATGAATGAACAATGATCTGGACAGCTACACTGTGATTTATTTAAAATCAATTCAGTTGTGAATGCTGACAGAACTCCAAGTAAGCACCTTTGGGAAAAATGCATTCTAGGGACTAAATCTCAGTTTTTACAATACCAGATAACTGAATTAAGGATATGTTGGCACCACCTTCTAAAGATAATGAAAAATATCATTAATCTTCAAAATGCCTTATGTAATTAGGAAAATGAAAATATACTCCTATTTTCCACACTCAAAAAACAGTTACTTACTCATATTGATCTAAGTTGCTGGATTTCTTTCCTGTTACATAATTACTTGGGATATAGCCTTCAGTCCTAGAAATAAGAAAAAAAATGCTTTAGGTAAACAGAAATTATTTTCTGGAATAATTAAAACATGTTGCCTGAACCTTGTAAGACAAACAGGCTGTCCCCCAATAATTCAATATACTTATATCATGTGACCTCTTATAAAGCACTTCCACATCTGATCTCACACAGGCAAACACTATTGTACACATTTTCTGGTGGGGAAACCAAGCCTTGGAAATATTAAGGTACCTCTCCAAGGTCCTAAAGCTTGCCAGAACAGGGCCAGGACTTCAACTCTGAGTTGTCACAATTTCTTAGGGTGTTTTAAAGAAACTACTGCTTCACTAAAGTGAAAGTGTTGGATAAAAACACCCACCAATGACCCTGTAGAACAAAAGGTGGTCCCTGATCTCTGTGTTAGTACCATGGGGCCTGGGGTGCTTGTTTGAAGGGAAATTCCTTAGCATGGGCAAGGCTTTGGGTTCAATGCCCAGTTCTGCAAAAAGGAAAAAAAAAAAGCAAATTCTTGAATCATAACCCAAGAGATTCATATTAAGAAAACCTATAAGGGGCCAAGGAATATTTAATTTTATCCCAGATGACTCTTAATGCATATGACAGTTTAAGAAGCTGTTGTTGGAGCCAAGATTTTCAGTATAGAAAATAGATACATTGGTAAAATTTTAAAAAGCAAGTAAAACTTTGTGAGCTCAAATTTGAATCTGAACTATTAGGAAAAAGTCATCACACGTGTACACACACAAGCACGCATGCATGCATACACACACACACACACACACACACACACACACACACATACAGCCCTTCTGCACTGGGAAAAGCCTACAAGCAATGACAATCCAGCAGTAATTAGAAACCAAGCATCTCAATGATTGTCCCTAAACACTACTTCTGATTAAAAGGAGCCAGCATTCCTTGGAAAAATGTCAAATTGCAGGTTTGGCCAGGAAAAATGCAAGATGAGTTTGAGCCATTTTACTGAGCCAGAAAGCAAGCAAGTCAAGAAAGACTAGTGGGGTTCTCAAACAAAAGCAGCTTTCACTGACCCAAGAAGGGATGATTCCAGCAGAAAGCATGAGGACTGCAATGGACAGAACTCACCGCATAACACTACAAATATCGGTCCAGTCATCAACTCACAATTCTGAAAACTGGTAAAAGTTAAGGATCAAAAAAATTCTTCCTTCCTCTTACTGCTGAACTAAATGAACTGATTGATGATGCAGCTCTTCAGAGAATAAATGTGGTGGAATAACAAAATTTGAAAATCACCATTTTGTAATCCGTAAGGAAACAATGGATCTAAGCAACAATCACTAATAGATGTCAGAGTCACCAGGGGAAACTCAGATGAAGATGACAGAGGACTAAGGCTGACACCTGGACCATGGAGCATTTTAGTATCACTGATAATAGGACACCCAGAGTTTACCGTCTAAAGTGATCAAGCCACTAGATCCAATCACCAGTTTTCAGAAGATACAAGACATAGAGTTACGTTAAATGGCGCCAGAAGGAAATAATGAGCCTAACTTAGATTATGGTTCATTTTATAGGGTAAATGAGCTGGTGTCATTAATAAATCAAAAATGAGAAAAGGGCTGGGCGTGGTGGCACACGCTTGTAATCCCAGCACTCGGGAGGCTGAGGCAGGAGGATCTCTGAGAGTCCGAGGCTAGCCTGGGCTACACAGTGAGTTCAAGGCCAGTCTGAACTACAAAGTAAAACCCTGTCTCAAAAAACCAGAAAAGAAAAAAAGAGAGAAAAAGATGGCAACCATTATAGAATAAAAGAAATACAAGTAAGATATCAGATAAAATGAAATGTTTGGACTTTTTTTAGATCCTTTTTTGAACAAAGCAACTGTAAAAATGCATATTAGAGCTAATCAAGGGAAATGAATTTAATAATTTTAATAATTAGTACCATCCTTAGACCTGGGCCACAAGGGCCTCTGCCCTGATCCACCCTTTGAAGAACTCTGCTAAAGCCCTTATTTCCTCAGCCCTCTTCTAGAGTATCAACTAGGATCCCAGAATTCCTGGCCCATTTCCAGGGCCCACATGGCCTTTCCTCTGGGTCCACTGCACTGGCAGTCACATTCAGTGCCTTCCACCAAGGCCCAGGGCAGCAATGTTGGAGCTTGGCTGCTGCGAGCCATGCAGACAAGGCTTGAGTGTACAGGCTGGAAGAGACCACAGTGCACAGGAGAGATGCAGCTGGGGCAGGAGGCAACAGGAGCAGTGTTGGGGCTCCCGCTTTCTGACTTGGAGATCTAATCCCCAACCTTGACTTTCTTGTCATCATGAAGCTGTATTTGTCAAGTTGGAGGATAAATGACATTTTACCAGTTTGTCAACCTGATTTATTAATACCTAAATATTTAAATATATATATGATATATAGGCTATCATTTGCACCTTCCTCTAGGCCTAAAAATGTTAAGGAAAAGTATATAGATGATATTTGTATAAATTATTGCTAAGTATGATCATGACATAGCAGGTGTTTTTTTAAAGTCCTAAGCTGTTAGAATTACAAATGAAATGACACTCTCGGAGAAAACCCAGGGAAGACTGACAAGACTAGCAATGTTGGAAATGTTTGAAGTCAATTGACAAGAAGTTCCATTATATTATTGCTATGGCTTGTACCTAATGTCCTCCTAAAACCTCACCCACTCATAGGTGCTTTTGGAGGTGGCTGGATCTAGGGTGTGTGAATGTGGATTAATGGTGTGATAGTGGCATTACGGGTGTGTAGATCAGTCCACCAATTGGTTTAGCATAGTTCTTGGAGTGGATGATGGAAGTCCCACCCTGGGTGTGGGTGGCACCAACCAACAGGCTTACAGCCTACATGGGCTATAAAGGGAGAGAGGGAAGCCTTGCTGCTTGGTGCTTAGTGCCAGGCTTGCTGCTTGGTGCTTGGTGCTTGCTGCTGCTGCTTTCTGCCAGTGCCCAGACGTGTACCACTGACAAGACTGAGGAGAAGAAGAGGGTCCTGCCCCTAGAGGTCTCCAGTGCTGCTCCACAAGGGTTCTAAGGGTACAGAACTGTGGCTGGAGCTGCAGCAGGGAGCTCAGAGTGGGTGGAAGACTACACTCTGACCAGACCAGAAGAGCCCCTCTCTTTAGTAACTGATACCTAGAATGTAAAATGGGGCTGTATTTCAGAGGTAACATGGGACATAGTTTTCTTCGTGGAGCCTAAAAGATACCCATTCCCTGTGTTTACCCAGATCTACCCATATATTTATAATGTCCCCTCCCTTAAATCCTAAATTATCTGGTACAAATACTGCTTGCTGTTTACCTTCCTGCATGTAAATATGTATATATTTTATATATACATACATGTAATACAGAGGTGAGAGAAATTTGAACAGAGGCTCTGTTATACTGTCTGTATAAATACACATACATCTGCATAGAAAGAAAGGCAAGAATCCAAGACAAAAATGTAATTAAAAAAAAAATCTAAGATTACACATTGAGGATGTAGTGTAGTGCCAGAGTTCTCAACTAGCATGCACAAGCCCCTGGATTCAATCACCAGCAAAAAAAGAGAAAGAAAGAAGGGAAGTAAGGAACTAAGGGAGGTAGAAAAGGAAGGAGAAAAAAGAAAAATCTAAGATTCCTCCGGGGCGGGGGGTGTGAAACATAAAGTAAGTTTCTCCAAGGTTAAAATAGTCAAATGAAACAGAATGGATGAGAAAGAGGCCAATGTAATGTATTCTAACTTACAGAAAGAAGTGACTGATCAATTTGCATCTATTGACTGACTACTAAGAATACACTGTGACACTGCTGAGTAGTAATACATGCTTTACCTTATGGCCAACTGAACTAATCTCATTATGTTTCCGGTACAGCTCACACACATGTCTCTCAGCACCTACCTCCCATCCCACTGTGCGGCTCACAGATGGGGATACTCACCCATTCTTATCCCTCGCTCTCCACCAATGAATATCATTCTTTTCCAGTATGATATACTCCTGGCCCCTCTCTAATCTGAGATCGTGTGCTTCTGTGGCTTGGAAGTCATACATTGCTATAACTATTTCTTCACTATTATTCTCTTCTTCAGGAGGAACTGGTGGGGGAGGCCTTCGCTGAGCAAAGAAGATGACATTTGAAAGTTTAGTCTTATATTCAGAACTTATCAATGAAAACACTGAATGATTCACACATAGAATAAGGCAGAAACTTCAAGCCTAAATCACCTAATATAATTTGGTGAAATCAGGATCTGATAATGTTGATGCTACTGAACTTCTCATGACTTTTAGAATATAGAAGATGGAGCTAAGGGTAGTGGTGCAGCCTGTAACCCCAGCACTCAGGAGGCTGAGGCAGGAGGACTGCCACAAGTTCAAGGCCAGCCTGGGCTGCATAGTGAGTTCAAGGCCAATCTGAACTACATAGTGAGACCCTGTCTCAAAGGAGGGGGGGGGAGGGGGAGGAGGAGGAGGAAGGGCAAAACTGGCTTTAAATTTTTGCTCAGGGTAAGGGATGACTTTCTGGGGAGATGCAAGGGTAACAGGTGAGTAGATACCAGGAGGACCAAAGGTAGACAAACTAATGAAATGGCCTGTAACGCAGAAACAGTGCACCACAGAATTTTAGCAGTTCACCTCCCACTCAAAGGAATTTGTACTTCTTTATGCCTACAGAGTGCAAAGCACATGCTTAGGATCTACCACACTTTTTCTCATTTACTCTTAATATTGCTCCCATAAAGTAGAGTATTATAATTCCCATGTTATAACTGAGACAATAATGGTTTAAGTAACCCATCAAAAGTGGCTCATATCAAATTCATATCACCTCAATTACTGAGTCCAAAGTACTTTTTTTTCTACCATACCCCACTCCTCGAAGGCATGTCCTTAAATCACTTAAAAACATTCCTTTGTCATACTGTGGTCTTAAGACAAATATTCCTTTAAAGCCTCACACCTCTTTTATAAGTCTAAGTCAAGCTACAGGGAAAATGTCAGATGATAATAGATCCCACAATAAAGTGGGAGAATAGCTTAGTGGTAGAGGATTTGCCTAAAATGCATAAAGCTCTGGGTTTGAGCCCTAGCACTGCAAAAATTAAAAATAGGACTCACAATGATAAAATCTGAAACAACTGATATTATCCAACACCAAGAACAATTCAAATAAACCATAGCCCATTTGCTGCTAAGATGGTCCCAGGGAAAAGCAGCATCACATGATCTGCTATAATATAATGTAATATAATCTCACTAAGTCACTACGGATGTTCTGTATCTGAACTGTGACATGCTTGTGTGATATTGTACTAGTTTTGTACATTAGGAAAAGCTGGGTAAAGGGCACATGGAATATCTCTGTATTGTTTCTTTCAAATGCACGTGAATCTATAGTAATCTCAAAACAAGAAGATTGATTTTAAGAAGTGAAGGGAAACAACAGTAAGCAGCTACTATTTAGAAAATCATGTATAAAGGAAAAAGAACACATATTATGAATCTGAGCTCTCGAGTCGGACTGCAGTCCTAGCTGTGATACTTACTGTAAACTTAGACAAATTCCTTAATCTCCCCTAAAAAAGATATATCTATTCAATAAACTGTAAACCTTTCAGAAATGTAAAGACCAAGGCTGAAAACTTAAAGACACAACTTCCACAACAGAGAGACCACATACCTTCTTTGTTTCTGGTGCTGGGGGTAGTGCCTTTTTTATACCTGAAAATGCCAAAACAAAAGCAGGTCAAAATGCTACTTGCCAATGGCTGATAGGGAAAAGTGAGAATGAACGCACTAACAAGGGGCCCACTCTGCCAGATCCAGGAGCATATTTCTAGTGTCCCTGGTGTTGTGTCCTCACCACTGCAGAAGCCAGGTTCTCAACAATGCTTGCTGAACCAAAATCTTAGCTGAGTTACAGCAGAGCCCCCTTAATTTCCACATTTTCCATGACTCCCAGTCAATCACAGTATGAAAATATTAATTGAAAAATTCCAGAAATAAACAGTTAATAGTTTTAAATTGCACTGTTCTGAGGGGCAAGATAAATCTTGCACTGGTGGGATTGGTCTCTCCAGGATGTCAATCACACCTTTGTCCACAGTGCATAACCTACTCACTCTCTTAGTCACTCAGCTATCTCAGTTATCAGATTGCCTGTTGGTACTACGGTGTGCTTGTGTCCAACTAACTCTTATTTTACTTAGTAATGGCCTCAATGTGCGAGAATAGTGATCCCAGAAACTCAGAGATCCAAAAAGAAGCCAGAATGCTTCCTTTAAGCAAACAGGTGAAAGTTCTCGACTTAATAAGGAAAGAAAAAAGCTGTATGCTCAGGTTGCTATGATCTACAATACAGTAAATACACAAAGTGAGATCAAAACATATGGTGAATTTTTAAATTAAAAGACTTTGTTACAGTAAAAGATACATTATCCCTGATCCCCTCAGAATACTCCTCTCACTTCAAACATCCCACCATTCTTGGCCCTTTCTGAAGCAGTTCTGGAAGTCCTTTCATGAATGTCTATAGTTGTACTGTAGTGGCCGCCTTGATGTCCTGAATTGATTCTAAATGTTTACCTTTCATAGTCATTTTGTCTTTAAAGAAAAGCCAGAAGTTGCACCATGCCAGATCCAGTGAGTAAGGTGGATGAAGACACAGTGTGATGCTTTATTTGACAGAAATTGCCATAAGTATTTTGAATTGGTTCAGGACATTGAGGCAGCAATAAAAAGATACTCACAAAAGAAGACTTCCAGAACTGCTTCAGAAAGTGGCAAAAACGATGAGATAAACACGTTTGAAGTGTGTGTGTGGGGGGGTATTCTGAGAGAGATTAATGGTAATGTGCCTTTTATTGTAAGAAAGTTTTTTATATTTAAACATTGACCATATTTTATCATGTCTCCATAACTTTTAATAAAGTATATTATTATAATTGTTTCATTGGATTATTAGTTATTATTGTTAATCTCTTACCGCACCTAATTTATAAATTAAACTTTATCACAGGTATGTATAGAAAAAAAAAACATAGCACATATAGGATTCAGTGCTATCTGTGATTTCAAGCTTTCACAGGGGATACTGGAAGGCCTCCTCTGTGGATAAGGAAAGACTTCCATAATGACAACACTGACAAATTAATAAGCTCTGAAAGTCTATCCCTTCCTATAGTTTACAGTACTGGAGTTTTGGCTGGTATGTGACAACCCAGCTAAGTGGACATGGCATGAAGTTCTAATCAAAGGGTTCTGTGTCTAAATGAGATGTACCGTTTTTAGATCTGGTCTCTAAAAGTACTTCCTGTGGACATCCTTAACCCTATTCCCACTTTCTGCTTCTAGGAAGAAAAAGACTGTAGCTGAAGCAATCCCAGGAGCCACTGTAGAACTGGTCCACCAGTCCTGGACCAGCCACCTACCTTGGGATTTTTATGTAAGACTGAAACACATTTCTAGCTTAACTCGCTATACCTTTTGGGTCTCTTTCTACAGTGGGTTAGACTATATCTGATACCAAACCTTAAGAAATTAAAGGGGCCAGGAATTTAGCTCAGTGGCACCACGCATGCCTCTCAAGCACAAGGTCCTGAGTTCAATCCCCGGTAACAAAAAAAAAAATCGAAAAAATCAGGAAACAATAACAACCTTGGAAACATAGACCTTTCTCTTTAATGTGACAAGTCAATGTCAGGACATTCCAGGAAAATTAGGGTGGAAGGACTTATAGAATCAGGGCTGGCCTCCTGAACACCTACCAAGTAGCCATTCTGCTCATACCCAGAAGGTGGCTGACTAGTTTGGATTGACACAGCATTGTGCACAGTGTCAGCAAGAAAAGAGAAATACAGGAAACTCCACCACCCTATAGCAATTTGAACCTCCGTGTATTTTTTGTTGTTGTTGTTAAATTCTTTTATTGGTACATTTTAGGTATACAACACAATTACATTTCTCATTGGGAATTGTACCTTTACATAATGCATCTTGGTTCTTATTTTTTCCCCATTCCTAGCCCTCCCTTCACGCCCTCCACCCTTCCCTATTTACAAAGACTTTATTTCCATTTTTTCCATTTCTCATCATTTTTCCTTTCCCTTCTTTCCTCTCCCTGCCCCTCCCACTACCCCTACCCCTTTGGACCTTTTCTTCTTATTTGCATTATTGATTATTCATTCTAATCATTGGTACATTTTAGGTATACAATATGACATTCATCATTGGAAATTTGCACCTTTACATAATCTCTCTTGGTTCTTATTTTTCACCCTTGCCCAGCCCTCCCTTCAACCCCTCCATTCCTCCCTATTTACAAAGATTTTGTTCCTATTTTTCCATTTTCTCATATTAATCCCATTCCCTTCTATCCTTTCCCCTAGCCCTCCCACATTCTTCCCCTTTGCCCCTTCGAGAGATGCAAATGAAAACAATGCTGAGATTCTACCTCACTCCAGAAAGAATGGCTGCTATCATGAAATCAACCAATAACAAATGCTGGCGGGGCTGTGGGGAAAGAGGAACCCTGCTCCACTGCTGATGGGAGTGTAGACTGGTGCAACCACTGTGGAAATCAGTATGGAGATACCTCAAAGAACTAGGACTGGAAGTCCCATTTGACCCCACTATTCCACTGCTGGGGATCTTCCCCAAAGAATTAAAAGAATCATACCACAGTGATGTATGTGTGCCCATGTTCATAGCAGCACAGTTTGTGATAGCTAAAACTTGGAAACAGCCCAAATGCCCATCAACTGGAGACTGGATCAAGAAAATGTGGGGTTTTTTATAAAATGGAGTACTACTCAGCCATAAAAAATGAGAAATTAGAGACATTTATAGCTAAGTGGATGCACATTGAGGCGATACTCTTAAGTGAAATAAATACTGAATAGTTTCTCTGGTGTGAGAACCTGAAAGTGTAAATAAGGACTAAAATGTATAATAGGTAACGTGTATTTTTAACTAATGACTAAGGACCTCTCATTTCCAGAACATTTAAGGGTCTTCTGCATCAAAATTAACCCCAGACACTTTTATTCATCTGGACATTTACATAGGAGTATCACAATGACACCTTACTGCTCTGGCAGATGGTGAAGACAACCAAATCCACACTATTCAGCCCCATTAAAATGAAAACAGTTCTACTGAGACTGCAGATTCATTGCTACACAAGATTTCCAGCTACAATCTGGGAAGACTGTATTTGCTGACAAATATACACATTAAAGGAGAAGTAGCTGATAGTACCAAATTAGGTTCATGCTTTTAATAGGTTTTGTTTTTGTTTTTGTTTTGTTACCAGGGATTGAACTCAGGTCTTTGTGCTTGCGCAGCAGGCGGCAAAACGACTGAGCTAAATCCCCAGCCCAGTAGGTTCATTTTTAACAGGCTTCCTTGGAAAGTCCCTCCCAAAAAAGACCTTTTGATTCCATGAAAGGGTCCCAGTGTTAAGTAAATACAATTATTCTTATAAAGCATGCCATTCTATATTTATACTTTTATAGAAAGTATGTTGTACTTCAATCAAAATCACACCACTTTCTCATGTTCATTCTGAACACAATACAATTAGAAAATAAAATAAATACTTACTACTACTCTCAAAAAGATTGTATTTTTCACATCCAGGTGCTAGTTTTTCTGTTTGTCTGCAACACTGATAACTTCCATCTGCCCAGAATTTAGGGTGATATTTAATCATAATATTATTGTTGCTCTTTATTTCTGTAATTCACAAGCACACTGATGATTAGCAAAAAATAAGAAAAAAACCCAAAAACTACAGCATGTTTGTTTGGTAGGTAACATTGTCAATCATTACTTCTTCCTTGGACACCACATTTTTTCATGAAAATACCCTCAGAATGTCAGATAACAACATTCAGAAAAGCCAGATGGTTTTCTTTCGTGTGTGTGTGTGTGTGTGTGTGTGTGTGTGTGAAATGCCTTGTCAGCTGAAGTGACAGCTCCCACACCAAGTTGAATAAGTGCAAAAGTCAGCTCACTACCATTTTGTTCCACCAGAGATGCAACGAGGATTCTGCAGGACCAATCACCGTTCAAACACTACGTGTACATGTTAACCCCAAGGCTAATTCAGGGGCAGTTTCTTAAGAAAACACTGCTATCACAAGTCCTATTATCATAAAAGGTGCTTTGCCACCTCCAAACACATTAAATGAAGCATGTTTTTCTTACAAACTATATACCACTAGAAAGAAGCAAATTTTTAAAAGGGAAGCTAGCTTCAGTATGTTGTATCACCATAATTGACCACCCTTGGAGAAACATTTATTTAGATTTAGAGAATAGAAATGCAAGGGATACATTGGCTATAATTCTATTTTACTGGTAATGGCATCATATTCCTAAAATTGTGTGCAGATTAGTATTTCGTCACATAAATTTTACCTTCTTTTAATTTCTTCACCCAGCGGTCCCTGCTTTGTGCGCTAGGTGCGAAAATGTAAAGTGTGTTAGCATCATGAACAACCTAAAATAAAACAAAAAATGAAATCAGTGACAAATATTTGGACACAGCATTTCTACCTGGCACGGAGCCTTTGGTACACAAACATGAATAATGGATTTTCCAAGGACTGAATAAAAGTCAGTTACTTCAGATGCAAATAACCTAGATTACTTTCCTACAATAGTACATCTGTTTGTTTCTATATCAAACAGGATACACATTTGCAAAAGACTGTTTTTATAGAAGAAAAAAGAAGTCAAGATACTTCATTAATCTCTGTATTTCTTTCCATCTAACTAAAGTTCCTTAGATAAAGTTGGTGTAATAGGTGTTATTCTACTTCAGTATTTGTGTAAAATATTTTATATGAATGGACTACTCTCTCATGATCACTCTTACCTTCCCTTTGCCACTGTCAGTAATTGCAGCAGCTAATTTTATTAAGCACTGACTGTCCTAACTCTGAGCTTTCTGCTTTATACTAATTAATTCTATTAATCCTACCATCAAGGTATTAGTATTTCAATTTCACAGACGAGGAAATGAAGAGCTGCTACCAATCCTCCACTCCTGCATGACTTCAGGAGACACCATTCATGAGCAGGCACTTCAAATGGTGTCCCCTAATGTTGCACCACTTAAATGCCCATTGTCATTTAGCAGTAATGCAGAAAGCCAGGATTCAAACTCCAGAACCCAAGCATTTAACAACAGTGCTACTTTAAGTGGTAGCACCTGTTGGGAAATTACACTCATTTTTATACTTTTAATATTAATAATAAAATAAGTCTGAGAAATTAACATGGGAATTTTGTCACTGGGCAGTCACTTTGCCCTAGGTTGTCAGACACAAAGCAGATACACTTTGCCTAAAAAGTAGTGCATGCCTATAAACCTCCCTTCACCATAGCAATACCCACTGAATTGAAAACAAACTGTTGTCACACTGACAAATGGCTGTCCCCAACCCAGTTCAATAGGTAATTCCTTCTCATTCATTTTAATCAAATGAATGTCCTCTAACAGCCATGTGGTCATCATAAAGCAAATAATGTTATAGACTATCCAGCACTTTGCTGGGACTATCTGAGACACAAAAAATGAATCAAACATGAAGCTTATTTCTAAGACATGTCTTGGAATACCTTAGTACCATACAGAATCTGAGAAATGATATCAGAGAGGTCAAATGGTAAAGGAGACGTAGGAGATAATGTTTCCTTATTTGATACCACTCTAAACCAAATTTGCACTTGTTCAGTACATTGACAGGCTAGAGCACTATTTAGGGACCAATATCCTCCCTTCTAAGCCCCAGATCACACAGGGGCGGGGTGGGGCATCTTCCATATTATCCTTGAGGACAGCTCCATGGCGGGGGTGGGGGGGACATAGGGAGTCAGGCTTCTGGGGTGCCTTGTGTCTTCTGGTAAGGAGGAGCAGAGGCTGTTGGCGAAGGAAGGTTTGGCAAAGCTCCCCTGCTGAAGTGCAGAAGCCATTTCATCAGGTAGGAAATACTCTTAGTAACACTACTAACTTAGCAGTTGTCCTCCTGATTTATATCTTTATTCACCTGTTCATTTATTCAACAGACTTTTAACAAGTGTGGTGCAGCAGAAACAGCACAGCTATTAGATGGACAGAGCTGGGTTTAAAACCCAGGAAGGACACACCATCTCCTGGGGAACCCCCAGCTGCCACCCGAAATGACTCATTTAAGGAAGCATGAAGAAGGAATCCCACTCAGCAGCTGGTTCCTTGTTTTTTGTCCCTTCCTTGGGCTAGAATATGCTGGGAGAAAAAGCAACCTCCTTTTCTCTCTTGAAGTCTTTTGAAAATGTCTACTTCTCCCTTTTTTAAAAATTCTATCTCGCATCTGAACTTGATACAAAATTTCACCATGAAGATGTAAAACTAGGCTCTATGCCTTCTTAGTTATACGTGTTATTATAAGAGAGGACTTTTTTCACCTTTCAAGTTCTGCTGGTTTAAATTATATAGCTGCAGCTCAAGTTCACCTCTTCTTGATTAATTTTTATGATTTCTTTATCTGTTCTTAGGTTTAATCATCTCAACAATTTTAAATATTCAAGGATGGAATACTTTCTGTTCTCCTATTTTTATCATCATTATTAAAGCCAACCTAAAATTTGCAGAGTAGATTCTTTCTCTTGGAAACAGCCTAGTTATCAAAAATCCTAATTCTGAATCTAGAATCATGAAAACCATAGTTCCCCACAACTGCCTGCCAGCCTCTAAAATGTCTCAGAGCCATCAGAAGTGTGGCAGGAGCGATTCTTTGCTAAACAGCAAACCACACACACACACACACACACACACACACACACACAACCAGTGTAGATGCATTCCATGCCTTCTGCTGAGATTAAACTGGGCTCACTTCTAGATCTGGGTGGGGGTTACAGTTGTTAATGACATCAACAGTATGAGAAGTAGCAATGACAGAGTTAATAACAGCAATGCCTCAGCTATCTATAAGTCATCTCAGTTCATCTTCACAGCAACTCAACTAAGTGAATACTGTTACTATTGTTTCCATTTTTCAGAACAGGAAGCAGACGCAAAGGTTAAGTGACTCACAGAAGGTCACACAGGCAGTGAGTGGCATATTGTCCCGCCGCCGTTTGGGCTCAGAGTTGCCTCTTTAAAGAGGCTTAAGCACTTTACTGTCCCTGCTCCTTACTCAGAAATGGCAGACATAAAGTGAGGAATGGGGAAAAGGAAATATAAAGGTAGTCCTTCCTCCCGTAGTGTTGCCACCTTGGTGGAAAATAATCCAGATGCAGTTTTAAAACTTGAATATTTTAGCTCACTGCTTCCGAGTGATCTTGATCTCCCAACTGGTAAATGCTTATTGTGAAAGTGACAATTAAAAACCAAAACTCCACTGCAATAATACCTGGAAAGAGATTTTCCCAGCAGGCCCTCTCCTCCTCCAGTTAAGGCAGGACCACATCTGACTTTGACTTGTGATGTGCATTGCTCAAAAGAAAGCAAAAAATGCCCTTCACTAGAGATGGGGTGCTGAGGCCTCTGATGAGCTGGGGAATGTCAGGATTCAACCCCACACTCCTGAATGCCGAGGGTCATGCCCAGCACATGGAGCCGCCCTCTTTGGGAGTGAGCCATGCATGTGTGCTCTTGGCTGGCCTCTAATTGACAGAGTGGCCCTGGGTGAGTCATCTACCATCTGTGAGCCTCAATCTTCTCAGTGATAAATGAAAATAATATGACATTTGCCTATTCATACATCTGTGAACAGGATCATTGTAAGAGGAGAAAATGAAATAACATGATCATCCTTTCAAAAATCCAGTTTAGGGCTGGGGATTTAGCTCAGTGGTTCCGCCACTGGCTCCACAAGCACAAGGACCCAAGTTCGATCCCCCCATACCAAAAAAAAAACAGTTTAATCAGGGCCAGGGATTTAGCTCAGCGATTCCACTGCCAGCCTCAAAAGCACAAGGGCCCAAGTTCGATCCCAGGTACCAAAAAAAAAAAAAAAAAGGATTCAAAAATACAGTTTAATCAACATAAAGTGCTAATATTATATTTTTCTATCACAAGCTGCCTTCTCATTTCATTTTTGTCTGGGAGGAACTCAGTCTTATCACTTCTCAGCTTCTCAAATTCACAGAGAAAACTTCATTGCACTTTGTTCAGCCCCAGCCCCCACTCCTTATTCCAAGTATTCTGATATATCTGAATAGGAGTAGACAAAAGGTAGGTCTTTCGGACTCAGCACCATCGGTAGATTCTGACAGCCAAAATAAGGATAAGATAATGTTTCACCCAAGGTGTAAGCAGTTCATGAAGAAAAGCAATTACTAAACCAACGAATTAACCTAAAGATCAAGCTCCAAACCAATGACAGGAAATTGTAACGTCATATAGAAAACATGACTAAAAGCCTATCATCATACTTTTGTCAAATGTATCAGCTCACCTGAAATGGATATTTATTTTGACAGGGAATGACGGCATCATCATTCTTCACTACTTCCACACACTTGATTCGGGAAACATCAATAAACCCCTTTCTGTATTTTTTCTGTGAAAAGAACAAAGGGGAGAAGCATTATAATTGCAAAACATAAGAAAACTGTTTTTAATGGTGATATTTGCTAGTGAAATTACTGATTCAAAATATTTAGAATCTCCTTAATAATTACCTAAATTATGTCTCCCTTTATTGAAATTGTTCAAAATACTGACACGGTGATGATTATAACCAAAATTATCAAATTCTTTAATTTCTAAAGGCAAAATTGTTCTGTCTTTGCCTCAAATAAAGCTCTAGGACAGAGAAATAGATTCCTTTTCATTGTTTCATTCCCTTTTCAGGCACACATGCCTTGTTCAATTTCTTCAACTTCTAGACAGTAGTGCTCAAAAAGAAAGCATCAAAGACCCAAGCCAGAAAGACTCCATTATTCAATCACAGGTGCGAGCTCCAGAAGCTGCATTTCCTCCTCCTCTGTGCAGGTTGCTTCAGTGCAAGCAGCACAGGGTTCAGGGCGGTAGGAGGTGGGCTGCAGGTGTTTGAGCAAAGCTCCCATTCCGACCTCCCTGCTCACTGCACATCCGGCAGCAATAATTAAGATCCATCCTCCAAAAATCATCCACACCCTTGAACACAGTGATCTCACATGTGGGAACTTATTGTAGAGAGAAACCCAAAAGAACACAAAGCAGTATGTACACAGATAACTTAATATATAACACAACTATTAGAAAGTATTACAAATACAATGTAGAAATTTTTTTAATTTGCTGAATAATATTAACAGATGCATTCTACACAAAAAGTTGTGTAAAGACCAAGGTCATTTTTGGTTTTTGGTAGATATTTACATGACAAAAATGAGGCAAATGAAGAACATTTTTGTATTGGGAATGACCAGCCATGCCTGGGCCTTAGTCACTGAAAACTGTTTCGCCTAATGCTCTGAAATCTCTCCTTAGCCACCAACTTTGAGCTCCCTGCTGTACTGCCAGGAACTTGGTCTGCATCCGCACTGTCACCACAAGACTTTCACACTTGCCCCAAGCTTGGCTGTCAACAGCTTCCTGTGACCAGGCTACCCTGGCTGCCATTTCGCCAGTGCATTCTCATTCATACTATTTCTGTCTCTGTGTGTGTGTCTCTCTGTGTCTGTCTCTCAGTCTCTCACTCTTACACACACACACACACACACACACACACACAAACACACACACATTAGAAGCCCATGGCCCCTTGACATTCCTCTCTATCCCTGTTCTGTCTATACCTTACACCTTTCCCTTGTCCCTTCAGACACGTGTTCTCTCCACGCCTATCTAGGCCCTCTATGCTGTTCTTCAGTCCTTTTTTTTTACCTCTGGGGAGAAGCTGGTAGCCTCTGTGGACACAACCAGCCTCATCAGAATTGCAAACCTTTTCCCTCACCTCAATGCACAAGTTCGATCACTACTTCATGGAAAGGACAGAGCAGCCATTGTGAGGGCATACGCCTACTTTGCACTGCAATTCAAGAGCACTCTAAAACCTTACATTTTCTCTTTCATCCTGCCTCTTAAAGGTTAAAAGGACAGAACAGAGAAGACCCAGTAGGTGGCATTTAACATCTGCATTTTACTCTTGTGATACCCTTGTGAAGTAGGCACTATTCTCAACACTTTACAGATGAGGAAACTGCAGCCCACACTCATTAGATACATCACCCAAGGACCTTGTCTGACCCCAGAACCCACTGGGCTTTGGGATGCCCCAGCTGCAAGGGGTGAGAGGATTCATGGGGCCAAGTGCCAGAGGGGCAACAGAGATTCCAAGCATGGCACTATCCGGCCAGGGCAGGGAGATGGGCATTCTCCCCAGTCGTTCTGTTCCAAGGGTTTCCTTCTCCTGTCTATAATACATCAGACCTCTCCTTCAAAACCATGAGCCCTTCTTCTGGCCTATGATTGCCTTAAGTCTTCTCTTTCTGAAAGTGAAAATGATTGCATTCTCACCCTCACCTCCTTCCCACACACTCCCTCAACCACTTGCAATCTGCCTCCCACCCGCATAATCCACCAAAGCCTTTCTCACAAAGAGCACCAATGACCAACCCAGCGGTCTCTACTGAGCTGGCATCCCTTTCTCCACATCTGAGTGCCAGTACTCTCCTCTCCTGTAGGTGGCTTTGACTCTGCGTCATCTAGGTTTTCCTTCTCTCCTCTGCCCTTAGATGCTTAAATAACCCCTGTCTTGTGTCAACAACACGTTATGGACAATATTGTATAAGAAAAGCTTGTTTTCTGAGCATGTAGTCTTGAAATTGAGCCAGGGGTTGGTTGTTAATCTTCATAGTTATCTGGCAAGGTAAGAATTATTGTGTCCATTTTCCAGACCAAAAAAATCTACATTAAGTCACTTGCCCCGGTGTACTGTGAGAGAGATCAATACAGTAACCAATATACAATGCAGTAAGTGCCACTTACAGAAAAGATGCTAAGAGACCACAAAGCTTACACATCGGAAGAGAGATGGGAGAGAGAGTAACCCCTGAAGAATGAATAGAAAAATATAGTCCAGCATGATCTCAGTTTCCTCATCTGTAAAATGGGGAAAACAATAGCTTCTGTGCCATAGGTTTGTTATGAGAATTAAATGAGCTAATACTGCCAAGTGCTTAAAAGACTGTCTGACCCATAGTACAAGACTTGCAAGTATTTGCTAAGTAAAAAGTTAAAAAAAGACCAGTGTAGCTGAAGTACAAGGTATGTGAGACAGGATGGAAAGGTGAGCAGGGGCCAGCTTCTAAAGAACCTGCTGCATGGGACTCCAGGCTGCGGCCACACAGGCTCCCAACCAGCTCCTAGGGCCTGTACCTGCTAGCAGGCAGAAGGGGGCAACCTCCTCTTTGGTCATCCACGGTCACTGCAGAAACCTTGGAAAGCAATAATAGCACAAGGAAGAATCAAATGACCCCAAGTCTCCTCCCCTGAAGAAAATCCCTGTCAACATCATGAAACATATCTAGACATTGCTCTCTGGGGCATCCAACTTGCTGGGAGTAGCAGGCAGGGATCTGCTTCCAAAACACTCATCTCCACTCACCACCTGCTATAGTTACTAAAAGAAGATGTCAAATGTGGATCAATTTACGCAGAAACATTTGGGATAATTATGATACTGGGTTGACTTATGTACCCTAAATTCATGCTTTGTGACATATTATCTAATGAACTACTGTGTAGACTTTCTTACTCAAATATTGTCCTATAAAATGAGCAAAAATTTAAGTTGTGCATTCATTATTTTATCTATTCTTCCAGCAAACAGTGACGGGATATCAACCAGGCACCAAACACAGTGCTGTGTGTTGAAGCTTCTGGGGGTGTGGGGGGTGCAAGGGTCTCTACAAGAGGATTTTGCAATAATATGGTGGGGAAAAGGGGATAAGGGGATGATTCACAATCTAGTAATGATAAAGCAGGGTGCTTTCATGTTATGGCATGGAGTAGGGCAGTGGTGGGGCAGGAGAAGTTGGCAGTTTCAGGGAGGAAGTGATACTTTGATTTTGGTTTTTTAAAAGATAAGTCGGAGTTTTCCTGTAGAGAAAGCAAAGAGGGTTCCAGGCTGCAAAAACAAAAAGGGCTCTGAGTACTTAGGAAAATGAAAGAAATTCACTGTGGCTGAAATGCAGGGTGGCTTGGGAGAAATACAAGGAATAACCCCCAAAAAGGTTGTTTGATGCCAAATTTTTCTATGTCAGACTTAGAAGTTTGGATTTAACCTGAGCAGTTTTGAGAGGGAATGAGAAGTAGTATACTGAGCCATAATTTTGGGAAGATAACTATCAATGGCAGTGTGAAGAGTGAGTGGAGTGAGAGAAGCTAGTTAGGAGCTTGCTGTAATATTTCTGGTGAGAGAAATGCAGTTCTGAACCAAATCCGAGGCAGCAAGTAGAGGCGGGTAAAGCAGAGACACCAGTGAATTTAAGAGGCCAAGGCCACAGAACTTTAGGGCAACTCAGATATGGGGATGAAAGAAGGAGAAGGAGCTAGCAGGCTCAGTGATTCTGAGTTTGAGCGATTGGCAGACACTGATACCATAACCTAGGAGAGAGAACACCAAAAGACAATGGGGAGGGAGGATATGACTGATTAGGGACAACCAACCAGAAATATCTGGAGGGAGTTGAAAATCGGGGTCTAGAACTCAGAAATGCTTAGCAGCTTCTTTATAGCTAGAGACTTCTTTTCACAAGGCACATACAGTGTTACCTCGAATATAGAGTGTTACCTCGCACATACAGTGTTACCTCACTCTAGGCTCATCTCAGAGTAACCCTGGGGTTTAGGAAGGGCTAAGAAAGAAACGGTCAGAAATGCTAAGGGATTTACCACGGGGAGCCTGGCATTAATGAGAGCCAAGTGCTCTTTTCGCATCTAATCCAAGCACCTCCTCCACAGCCCACTTAAGTCTGGGCACGCTGGTCTTTCAAAGCCTTCCCAGAGGAGCCCTCTGGGAGTACTGTCAGGAGCTCTGGGGAACGCCTTCTGAGCAGTTACCACAGTTAGCACCGAGAAAGAACATGGTTTTTTCTACATCTAGACTACTCTGTAGAATTATTTCAATAACAAAATTAATTCATGATTACTAGAGGTATCATAAATATTATTGTGAATATTATGGCCCAGAAACAAATGTCCAAGCTCATTGTTGTTTATGTAAAATTCTCTCCTAGTCTACTGTCTTTGCCCTCTTTGCCCTGCCAAGGAGAGCTGAGAGCTCCTCATACTAATCCTTCAAGCTAAGAAGACTCCTGACACTTAGTCACTATTAATTCAAGAGTGGGCTCTGCTGGTAGCATACTTTCCAAAGATAAGCAATGACCATATGACAACCAGCATAATTGAGAAAACTAAATACAGAGATAAAATATAACTTGCTTAAAACTACACACCTACTGAAAGGTTGAACAGGAGTTAGATGTAAGGGATCCTATCACCCTAGACCATCCTGCAAGGTATATTGGTTTCCTTTAATTTCTTCCAGAATACTCGGTATTTTAATAACAC